GTGTGTGTGTGTGTGTGTGTGTGTGTAGGGGTTTAGCAGAGCGCTACCTTGGAAATGCTAGGTCGAAGCCACTTATCCTGTGGCTACAATCTCTGCTACCTATTTAGAAGTCATTGAACTTTCTTCACAGAATTTTCCGAGGAGGGGAAGTCCTGGGATATGTATCCAGTTTTGTCACATGTATGTAAAAAGGTCTGAGTTGAATTTGAATTAGATTTGTTACATTATTGTCTTTAAAAAAACATCTGATTTGGGCCACATGAGCAAAAAAATCAGACTTGGGTCACTTTTGCATCAATAATTAATCAAATGCTTATTGATTCATTTAAATTGCAGCAAAATTAAAACATGGATCCACATCATCATCATCATGTGCTCAATGTGGTACTATAACTAACGCAATCATTTACTGCATCACATTTATTGCAGACTTGTAAACTTAACTGAATCAAAATTGTATCATGACAGACTTTATGATATCAAGAAACATTGAATCATCATTCAAAAAAAATCTATACATTGTATTGTAATAAAGCTGGTGTGATTTACAGCTCTAGCATAACGATTACTTTCTTGTGGCAGCCATCTTGAATTGGAAGGACTCTAACGGTGTATTCACTCCTGACACAATTGGTCTGGTTTAAATGGACAAGAGATCGTTTGCCTCTTATATGCATTTTTTGGACTTCACGAACTGGCTTAGCAACATGGTAACAAATAGCTCTTCAGTGTTGCTAATACTACCACAATACGCTRCAAACAATRAGCCGTGAACAGACTTAAAAGCAACAAGGAGACACTTTGCCTGCTCAATATTTGGACAGATGCTCACATAACTCATCTGCTAGAGAAGAACCCCAAGAATGTGGTTGTGTTCTCCATGTTTTGTGAGAAAATGAATGGAGCTGGGCTTCAATTGTTCTCCAGAACAATACTGCATCAAAGTGAAAAACTTCGATTAGACCACGTCTTTCTTTCAGGGTCTGTGATCTGTCCCGCCCCCATCATTTCTATCCAATGGGAACAATGRTTGTCACCCGCGTGGCTTTGTTTATAACTTATAGCCTGCTTGCAAAAAAGCACAATGTGAAGGCAAACCGTACCAAATAATAAAAAAAATAAAGTAGACTTTTGGACCAAAACAAGTGAACAAAAGGACTTTCCTGGTGCCAATACAACCTAAAATCTAATTGGTTGTGGGCGTTTATCCATTAATCAGTGAATGAGAAATTAATGAAAAGCCATTTAGTGGTCAAAAGATTTTTTGCTAACAGTGCAGACAAACAACATATATTGCTTCAACTTCTCATTAGAGAATATACTTTATTTGTTCTCCCATACAAGTACTTTCCAAAGTAAACATCTTTTCCAAAGTAAACGTCTAAAGTCTGATGCAGATCTCAGGACTTGGCCCACGCCTTTACTAAACTCATCCTAAAATGTTCACACATTTTTTCGTTTAGTTTATTTATTATTTACTTTTGCTTATGTTGCTCATTCCCCAGCGGACAGTGTGGAAGCATTAATACATTCTGGGAAGAGAAAATGAAAAAAATGTGTGATGATTGCGCAGTGTGCTGAATTAATGCTTTCTGTGTCAGAAACACAACCTGAGCTGGTAGGCCGGGATTGTCCTTATTTACATTTTTACACTGCCTAATGCTTATTGCGCCTCTGTGACACTGCGTGCAATACGATTGCAATTATGGTGGCTGTCAACATGAAATTACACCTTTGTTGTCCACTGATGTGAAGACGGGCCAATTCCGATGATTGGCTGTGTCGCCAAGGCACAAAAAACACATCTTATTATTGTTATTACTTGTTTAACCCATTAATTTGACACATTCCAAAAGTCGTTTGAATCCTAAAAATGGTAGCAACCATTTTATTGTTCTTCACCAGTGTTCTTTCTGTCTGTGTTTTAATTTGTTTGTACTGTTAGTAAAATAYCTCATGAACCACAAGCTGGACTTCCATGAAACTCAGAAAATAATCTTTGGGTGTACATCTGTAACCCATAACCTTTTAAARTCAATTGAATCCAAGGGGTTCACCACAGCAAACCAAAACAAGAAAACTAAAAAAATTGCAACAACCCTAATAATTTCATACTTACTGAGAAAATAGTTCGTATGCTAATAGCTGAAAATGATCCCCATTTTAGGTGCCAAGAACTAATTGGCAAAGTGAAATAGCCCTTGCTGCCATSTTGAATTTTTGATTAGCATTCAGATTTTGGTAACGCTTGTTCTTGGCTAATACAATATCAGATTGATGCTTTGTATTTCCTAAAATTTCTGCTTTATAGCCTGTTAAAAATTAGCATTAGCTGTTAGCTTGACATTGAACTTTGACATATATGTAAAAGGGTTCCCTTTCGRTCAGTACACTCAGTACAACACATGGATATGGGGATTGCGCCCTCGCGGGACCAACCAGAAGAAGTTTCTTTCAGCACGCCTGTTAAGGCCAATGAGACTGCTGCATGCATCTTTATGAGGCCCCACCCTCCTGGATATAAGATGCGACACAGTCTCATTTCCTCAATCTTTTTGCACTTTACCTTGCTTTAACCTGTTAACAGATCTGTTGTAGCTGACTTAACTGTCCGATCAGAGGTGAGCTC